GGCAACATCTCCAGAAGTTTCTAGGAGGCACTTTAAAGTCTTTCTCTTTGTGAGGGCTTTCAATGGAGCTTAAGCTGCAAGCAGTTTTCATTGGGAGAGGGATGGATGGGTTTCTAACCATCTTTTGGAGGTTTTTAATTCATAGGGTCACCATGAATTGGAAGCGACTCAACAGCACTTCATATGCACATATAATAAGAACATAAGAGACGCCAATGTTGGATCAGGCCAAAGGCCCATCCAGTCCAACACTCTGTATCACACAGTGGCCAGAAATACCAGGTCCATCAGGAGGTCCACCAGTGGGGCCAGGACATTAGAAGCCTGGGGGGTGGACTGTGAGCCACAAGGGTAAGGTGGGGTAAGTTGCCTTGAGCCAAAAAGGAAAGGCAGGGTATAAAGTGAGTAATAAATACATAAATAGAAAATTGATTTGTTCTCAGCCCTGGCTCCAGCCCTGGTGGAACACGCACCCGATTGAGATCAAGGCCTGCAAAACGGAGCTGTTCCACCAGGCCTTTGGTTGAGGCTCCAGACATCAAATAACATCATCCTCCCCTGCTCAACCGACCGGGGCACTATTTACATCTTGGGCACCTGGCGTGAATGACCTGCTCAAGCAGAACGCAGCCGGCCCGCCCTGGTATGAGCCTAGCAGACACTGAAAGAAGAAGAAACTCTTTGCTGAGCTGCCAGTAGATATTTCAATGAATCAACTAAATTTTAAATTGTTTGAGAGTTGTCCTATTTAATGAATGTATTGTTTTATTGTTGGGTGGTGTGTTGTAAGCCGCCCTGAGCCCACTCGCGGAGCAGGATGGGAGAAAAGTCCCAAGAATAAAATGAATAAAAATAAATACTTCCATTAATAAACAAGTTTAGGCATTTTATGCTGCCTCTGTTGCTTGAAAGGACCAGAGGGCTGGGAAAAGATTTGACATTCCCAGGTTCAGGGCTTTTTTTGTAGAAAAAGCCCAGCAGGAACTCATTAGCATAATAGACCACACCCAACAGCAGAAACAAATTAGCATATTAGGCCACACACCCCATGCCTTCCCTTGGCTTGTCCGGGCGCCCCGTGACCGCGGGGAGCCTGGGCAAGCCGACACTTGGACAGGCTGGGTAAGGCACAGGGAGGCATTTAAATGCCTCCCTGATCCTTCCAGGGGCCCCTCTGGCCCACCTGTTTCGGAGTCACCGGGGGGTCGCTCTCCGGGCCTTCCTCTGTAGTCACACACACAGAGGTTTTGGCTGTAGTGGGCGTGGCCAACTCTGAAGCCAGCCGGAACTCCGTTCCTGTGTGTTCCTGCTCAAAAATAGCCCTGCCCAGGTTCATTTTCTTTAAGGAGCCTTCACCAGACTTTTAGGCACACGACTTGCATGCAAGGAGAAAGCTAGCACAGGGGAAGCAAGAGTTTCTATTCCTGGCAATGGTTTTCTTGTCACATGGGAATTTTTCATGTGGGGACAGCATTCAAAATGAGATTCCCCTATTTTTCAGTCTGAAGGGGTGCAACCTATTCCACACCCTCATTGTGCAGCATGGGAAGACCAGTCCAGTGTTTTTAATATTTGTTTGAGTTTTGCCCGCTTCTGCAACAGGCAGGCTAGAAACTGAAGCAACAGGGGCAATAAGATTTCTATTTTGCACAGCATTGTCTACTAAACAAGTGGTGCTCAGTGGTTTGGGAGCCAAGTGTGGCTGTTGGACATGCTCCCTGTGGCTCTTCTGAGCACTATTCCCCAATGTCGCACCTGCCCCATGTTTCAGGAAAGTGGGCAAACCCATGACCAGTAACTGGTATGGTCTGAAACTCCATGAGGGGCAGGCCTCATAAATGTGGTTCTTTTGGTAGACGATAGGAAGCCCTCCGCAAGCTACAGACTAAGTACCACTTCATTAAACAACGTCTTCAGGGTACAACCTGTGGTTTTTTTATTCCAACGGGAACTTGCTGAGGAGAAATTGCTGGTGGATGGTGCAAGTTACATGTCAATTACACTGCTACCTTCATGCTAACCAATGTGGTGAGAAAACACCAGCCTAGACTCTGCTCTGAATCCTCCGAAAGAAGGACAGCACAGGCCTCTGGTGTCCCACTGAATACTTTGAATCATTCAGGAATGCAACTGCATTGCTGTGGACTTGGCCGTGAGTCACAAAAGAGCTGGCATGGGTCTCTGATCGAGCACCTTCAGGGGCAGGATGCATCCAGCCACTGGGGATTACTGACAGAAGTGATTTGGGAGACAGTAGCTGGAAAGGCCCGTCTTCTCCATCGATTGCTCTGCGCTCTCCAGCCAAAGGCAACAGGGAAGATCACACGAGTTCACGATGAGCTCGGGTGGTTATTAAAAGAAGTGGAATCCTCTTAGAGTATGGAAGTGTGCAAGTAGGGAGGTGGGGCAGAGGGGGAGGCGCCAACGTGCATTTCTGCCAATGGGTCAGGAACACAAAACAAAACGTAACCCTTTCTGTACCCCGGGCTATCAATGGCACCTCAGTAGGACCAGGGGTTCAGTCCCGGGGTGGGCGGAGGTTCACGAGGACCCCCGTTCAGAAGGATTCTCATGGGACCATCAATCCTCCTGAGCAATTTTCTCTTCCTAACTCAGGAGCATGTGGGGGGGGGGTGATCGGACAATCCTATTGGCTCTCAATGGCATTGCAGACAGATGAGAAGAGGGAAGAAAGAGTGGGATGGAGAAACTGAATAGGGGGAGCGTTTTGTCCCTCTCCCAAAATACTAGAACTCAGAGGCACCCAATGCAATTGCTGGGAAATGGGTTCAGGAAAGACAAAAAGAAAGACTTGACTCAACAAGTAATTAAGCCATGGGAGTCAATGTCAGTGGATGGGCACAGGCATCGCTGGCTTCAGGAGTGGGTGAGGCTGAATTCGTGCAAAAGAAGTCCATTGATGGAACCCATGACTTTGAATAGAGCCTCCATCTACAGAGGCAGCAAACCTCTGGACAGCAGTGGCAGCTGCTTTTATGCCCTGTTTGTTTGGCCCTCCAGGACAACTGCTGCTGTGGGAAACAGGATGGTCCGACCCAGCAGGGCTCGACTTCGGTGCTCATGAGGGTAAACAAAAACAGCCAGTGTGACTTCATTCCAGCCGTGCTCTGCAGAACAGATTTCAGAACCACACGAGATGATCACATCCACTGGATCAGCCTCTCCTGGCCGGGGCAACACCAAAGGAGCGGGGGGGGGGTTGTGATTATCCCAAGTGGGAGCCCCCCAAAAAAAACACTGAGAGGAAAAACACCATTCCCCAGTGGACAGATCTCACCTCTTCTCATCTAGGGGTCTGCTGAGGGCGCCTCCCCGATCCCCCCCCCAAACCCAGAGCCAGCACACCTGGAGCTCAGCAAAACTACACAGCAGTCTTCTAGGCCAGCCTGTTTTTATTATTCAAGATCTATCCCAGATAGGGCTGCCAATGTCCAGGTGGCACCTGGAGAGGGCCTCCCATTACAATTGCTCTCCAGACGGCCAGGATCAGCTCCCCCTGGAGAAGATGGCTGCTTTGGGGGACGGACGGCTATGGCGTGGTATTCCACTGAGGCCTCTCCCCTCTCCAAATCCCATCCTCCCCAGGCTCCGCCTCCCCAATCTCCAGGTATTTCCCGGCCCGGAGCTGGCAACCCTAACCCCAGATTTCTGGGATCCACCTCTGAACAAATGCAGGCCCTTTGCCAGGAGTTTCCCAAGCACATCACTGCAGCACTAGCCATGGCGCATGCTGGGGGTTGGGGGGGCAGGGGGGGGCCGTGATCCAGCCAGAGGAAGAGGGGGACCCCGGCTGAACCCGAGTGGCGCCTCTCGATCAGTGGCTCTCCAAGCAGAGGGTGACGAAACGGAGCCAGGGAGATTACATAACAGGAGCCGCGGCGGCAACTCGCAACCGAGGGAGAGGGAGAGAGGCAGGCGAGAGAAGCCCGCTCCTTTCTGGCTGGGCCGTTCTTGGCCGAGCGGTCCTTGGAGAGCCGTCGGCCCTCTTGCAGGCTCCCCTCGCCCAGGAGGGACCGCGGCGCCTCGCCAAGGCGGAAGAGAAGGCGCCTTTCCCACGGACGCAGGTCCAGCGCTCCAGCACAGGGGTCTACTCCGAAGGCGGGGGAGGGGGTCCCCCCTCTGAAGCCATCCCTCCTCCCCCCCAAAAAAAAGGTCCCCCGCCTTTGCCCTCGGCTCCCCCGGACCTTCGCGGGAAGGACGCCCCTTCCGGCTCCCACCAGACCTGAACGCGCGACACGATGCGGAGGACGAGAAGGGTACCCCCCACCCCCGCCCAGGTTGCATTTGGGGCGTTTGGGAACCGACACCCCCCTCCCCCGCCGCCGGTCTCCTCGCCTGT